GTCACTGTCACTGTCACTGTCACTGTCACTGTCACTGTCACTGTCACCGTCCGTCTGTTTGTCTGTCTGTCTGCCTGTCTCTCTCTCTCTCTCTCAGTGCTGCTTTCTCTTTAAACATCCTGTTCCATCCGCTGATTTCTTCAGCCGAGGCCCTGAACTATTTCCCCCTCATGTCCTTCATCGCTTGGGGCCCCAACATTGACGCGACCAGCAGCCGGCCGGGTCGACCCAGCGATGTGGCCACGCGACGAAAGGGCCTCATCAGCGCGGTGGCGGTGACCTCGGAGCTGAAGCCCCTGCCGGTTGCCCCAGCTGGCGATTCAGGCCACAACTCGATTCCATACTACAACACTTTGCAAGACTGGTACCAAAGAGTCCAAACGAGACATTCCCACCGCGCAGTCCGCATTTTGGCAGCTTTCAAGTGTGAATGTTACTGCAAGCCTTGCTGCAATCAGTTTTTGAGAAAATGGCAGGCCACTCTCAGCGCTTCTACTTCGAAGTGGAGGTAGAATCCTTGGCAGAAAAGCGAACGAACCGGACCTTGGCACTAGGCTTTGTCTGGCAGCTACCACATGCAACTTGGAGATGTTCTTGCACGTTCAGAGCAAAACCGACGATTCGTCCGCCGTTTCCTGTATTTGTTCGGTATTTGAAAGAACTGCTCTATACATCTCATTTGCCCTAGGCCCAGAGCATGATGTGGGTTATGAATTGTTTCGACTTTGGAGGGGGACCTCTACGAGCAAGACGGATACTGACGGGATCAGTTGAAAGGTTGGAAGGTAGCTGACACTATGATGCCTTGCTTTCAGTTTTGACAGTGCTTCGAATGTGGTGGTTTGCTACGAGTGTGGTTCGCGGCTGAACATCCTGCAAAATCATCAGCTTTAGCTGTTAGCTAAACTCACAAAAAGAGAGCATGGACTATGGACAGCCTTGCATAGCAACAGGAAGAACAATCATAACTGACACCAAGTCATCCACTGAGAAGGTCTGTCATTTGATCAGATTTCCAGAACATGTATGTATGTACTCCCATTACTGTATATAGTTGAAGCCTTTGTCCTGACATTGCATGTCCGATGTCTGGAAGTCAATGACATGAAGGCATTGCAGTGTTCGTTGTCTCTTTGTCATCACTTTGCGTGCATGGTTGGACATCACGCAGCTTATCACAGTGGAGAGGCCACATAATTAGGGGTTGTCAAGGCCAGGCGGGTGCAACCTCTGCTACAGAGAACCCTCTGGCCCCAGTAGAAAGCCACTTTCAGACAGTCATAAGGAACAAGGGTTTTCTGAAATATATAGGTACACTGGTCTACAGTTGGTTTGTCCTTGGAAGCACTGATTACCTACTGAAGAGGTCTGTGGATCCACTGGCGGGGTCTTGACATGCTTTGACTCATCCATGACCGACCATTGCCATGAACTCCGAGGCAATCCTCTTGGGTCCGGAGAGTTTGAAGCGCCCGGCCTCCCTCTGGACGCCCGATGGCCAGATGCCAGCCCCTTGGTGAGGAAGGAGCAGGCAAACTTAAGTTTGATTGAGGCGAGTACTGTTTTTTGTTGTTTTCTGGATGAATATGAATCATGTCACCCCCCACCCCTTGTGTAGCAATGCAGCCTCCAACAGGAACAGAGTAGACTCTTCGAACATGCACACTGCCTTCACCTAGAGACTTCTGCACCCGGTGTCAAGCCCCAGCTGCCTAGGAACAGGCATTGCAACTGCCACGGTCCTTCGTGCTGGGCGGCGACCCACCCAAGGCGTGCCTCGCGGCGTCAAATTCCGAGAGCTTCCCTGACGGCAGAACTGAAGTCTTTTCATTTGGAAGACTTGGGCAATTGGACCGATGTGCCATGAATCTGTGGAGGGGTCCACCCAAGACATGAATTCTGAATGCCCTCATCCTCTTCAGTCTGCAATTTCTCAAAGCGTGCTTCTTCATTGAAATTAGGTCCTCTTCCCTTGTGAACGCTTTAAAGTAGCATATGATGCTCTTGGTGCCCAAGTTGCGACCGGTTGGTAATCGTTTTGTCACCCCGCCAAGCCCAACAAGTGAAGCAATGAAGCAGCATGGTATTTGGCGACAGTCGCTGGTTTCCCATTAGCCACTGCACTTCCACCAGACTTCCAAACGCCCTCCAAAGTCACCCAGAAACCATTCTTCTGGTAATTTCTGCGCATCAGCAACATCAAGCGGCCAGCCGCAATCCTCTGAGATGATAGAGAATGGAGCCGACCCAGACATCGGGAATATCAGAGCTTCGCCATCTGCCTGAACACCTTTTCATTCATTCTTTTGGGGCCAAACCAACATCCAGCCTTCATGTGGTGAAATCGTGCTGCCGGAGGCATACCTGGCCGGCCGTGAAGTTGCGAAGCTTTCTTGGCGGCCGTTGCTGGAGGTCGCCCTGTTTCTTGGTCTTATGGAGGTTCGGTCAGTGAGGAAGGGAACATAGCAAAGAATGAGTGCAACTTTATATTAGCTATAATATGCTATAGCATGCTATAGCTATAGCGTGTTTAAAAGCTTTAGATCTCAATTGGAATGGCTGACATCCATCCGACTGAGCTTTTCGGAGAGCGGAAGGACCAACTAGGGAAGAGGGAATTGGCTGGGGCCCTACATGTTTATTAATGAAGTGTCGCAGAAGCTGCATGCTCCAACCGCACTGCTCAAATGGATTAGGCACATGGTGCAGATGTATCGTTTCACTAGTGCAGCTGCCAATACTCAACTTTGCACAGTGAAAAAGAGTTAGAGATACAGAAAGCAAGAGGGAGAGGAAGAGGGATGGGAGAGCGAGGGAGAGGGTGCGAAAGCGTGCAAAGAATCTATGGCTGACCTGTCCTCATGCGGCCTGAGGAAAAATACCTTGGGAGTGTTCCTCGAGATGCAGACAGACCGGCTCATCATCTCCATCTTCCAGGCGCCGGCCAAATCGATGCCGAGTCATTTTGCCAGAGCTAGATGTCAGTCTGGGTCGACAGTTTCGTGAGGCAACCTGGGTTGTCAAGCACACAACATGGTGGAGGCCATTGCAAGTAGGTTGGAGGCCATCGCTACTAGGAACAAGAAGCTACTAGTAACAAGGACAAGATATGACTAGTAGCAAGAAGCTACTAGGTGGAGGCCATCGCCATTGGGTTGGAGGCCATCGCTACTAGGAACAAGAAGCTACTAGTAACAAGGACAAGATATGACTAGTAGCAAGAAGCTACTAGGTGGAGGCCATCGCTATTGGGTTGGAGGCAATTGCTACTAGGAACAAGAAGCTACTAGTAACAAGGACAAGATATGACTAGTAGCAAGAAGCTACTAGGTGGAGGCCATCGCTATTGGGTTGGAGGCCATCGCTACTAGGAACAAGAAGCTACTAGTAACAAGGACAAGATATGACTAGTAGCAAGAAGCTACTAGGTGGAGGCCATCGCTATTGGGTTGGAGGCCATCGCTACTGGGAACAAGAAGCTACTAGTAAAATGACAAGATATGACTAGTAGCAAGAAGCTACTAGGTGGAGGCCATCGCTATTGGGTTGGAGGCCATCGCTACTAGGAACAAGAAGCTACTAGTAAAATGACAAGATATGACTAGTAGCAAGAAGCTACTAGGTGGAGGCCATCGCTATTGGGTTGGAGGCCATCGCTACTAGGAACCATAAGGTACTAGTACCAAGGACAAGATATGACCAGTAGCAAGAAGCTACTAGGTGGAGGCCATCGCTATTGGGTTGGAGG